TGTTCTGTTTTGGACAGAAACCCGACCATAATTGTGTCAGAATGAAAATATCTCACCGAAAGTACAGCCACCGCCACATTTAGTTGAAGTACTCAGCTACGCCTATCACATCCCAGGGGTTTCAAGTGTAAGTCTTTGTGATTCTTTGACATTTGTTGTTCACTGCTGAATGCGTTTTCTAAGATACCATAACAGTTTCCAGAACCTGCTAAGCAATGACAAGATTGGATTTATCAGGGTTTTTTGAGGCCCTCGCACTATCGTACCAAATGCACGTACGCTAGCTAGAATGAGACGCTGATTTGTATCGGATGTACATAGCGGTGCGAGCTCGTGCTCATCATGCCTATGTGCTCCTCGGAAGTGATTACAAAGATCTTCAACAATGCTTCTCGGCAAATACTTGCTCAGGCTCAGCTCATGTAAGGTTAGGCTCCTCCGAAGAACCACTGAGCCGTCCGGTTGCGAATGTTTGCAACCACCCCATCCAGTGCCTCTGGAACTTGGCTGTTCAGGACCGATATGGAATGGCACCTGGAGTCCTGCTACTTTCAGAGGCACTTTTCACGATGGCAGGAGGTGAGCAGTAGAGTTGGAAAGCTATTTCGTAGGTGCTAGAAAGCCGCCAGTGGAAAAAAAATCAGAAGAACTCAAAACCCCTAGTTGCCTTCCTAGGAGCCCTAAACCGTGGTTATAGTTATTCCTGGGCAAAGAGAACATAGGGAGAAGAGGCTTTGGACCCATAGAAGGAAAGCCAGATGTGAAACGTGAGAGATGGCACAGGTGAGCGGGATTGCCAGTATCCGGGAGGCAAATGCAGTGGGCATCTACTGCCTTGAAAGAGAATGGGCAGTCATCAAGGCTCTGACGTTCATCTTGTCATGAATTTCGAGTCGCAAAATCGACACAGCACCTGCACCTGTTGACCGAGATACTTGAGGCTCTAAAATGATTCGAGGAACACTTCATGATCGACTCCCTACTGATCTCAGTATGGCGTCCAGCCCTGTTTAGATATCCGTTCATGAACTGCTTGACTTTGAATTTTTATTATGCAATTTGAAAGGGGATTGGGACGGTGGACCTCATTCCCCAAAAAACACAACTGCTGACTCTAAACACTCTTCGAATTCCGGAAATCGGGAAACGGAAGGCGTAATCGCTCGCATACAATGCCCGAACTGTACAGAACCAAGTTGTCCATCCTCCCCCCCCCCCAGGAAAAACGAAGTCGTCTACAGTAAAGTACTTACCAACGGCCAAGACCAGGAAAGGCATAGTAGACGTTACAGGATTGAATGCAATCCCCAAGAAGAAGAAAATGCCAAATGTGCATATAAGAGCCAGAATTACTGACCATACGCCCAGGTACATTTCAAGTGGTTTCGACCTGTAAATTGTGACTACGCCATAAAAGTTCACCCTCGTGT